AAACCTTGGCCTGGGGCCCAGCAGGGCCACTGGGGGGCACCAGTGGTCCCTGCCTGTTCCCCAGTCCACTTTCCAGCTGGAAAGCGGGTCCAGCGTCCCATCGAGGCCCAGCAGGGCTGCTGGGGGGCACCAGCAGTTCCTTTTTGTTCCTCAGCCCAACTTCCTGATCACACTATCATGCTATCCCTTGAGCCTTCCTGAACCCTACTTAACCTTTCTGAACCTTTCTGAACCTTTCTGAACCTTCCTGGACCTTTCTGAGCCTTTCTGAGCCTTTCCAACCCTTCCAACCCTTCTGAACCTTCTTTTGAACCTTTTGAACCTGTCTGAAGGATTTCTGAAGAATTCCATAAAACTGCAGAAGTCTGAGAGTGGTCTGAGAATGATCTGAAATGGTCTGAAAGAGGTTGAAAGTGATTGAAGGGATCTGATAAGGATCTGAAAATGCTCTGAACTGAATGAATGGAGTACAGAAGGAATGTATCCGAAATGTATGTGCTGGACATCGGTTCCAGCATCCCTTAGATAGCCTATTAACATCGTCAAGTGACGCCCTTGTGCTGGAACTTGGGTCCAGCGTCCCATATCAAAATCGTCTCTTTCTTGTCTGTCCTGCAGCTGGGGCGGGGATACAATCTTCAGGGGGTTAAAGAACCAACAGACCGCTTACCGTCAATTGCAGGGATTGCTGTGCGCCCAATAGGAAGGAACTCCGTAGTAGGGTCTGCTGAGTCTGAGTATAATCTGGGTGATGTGTTCCCACTGTCGTCCTGGTTCATGCCGCTGGCAGTACTTCCACCAAGGACAACAGGTGGGGGGGGAAGGGGTCTGCGAAGTCCTGGGCTGACCGTAGTGGGACGCCCGGATCGCCTTTAATCCAATCATGGAAAATCAGCCGGTAGTCCCTTGCCATTCCCTCCCGGGGTTCTTCCCTCTGGTTAAATCCGGACCACTTTATCTCTGCCACCCATCCTTCCCTAACCCCCCCCAACCAGTCTTTACTGAAGTGGGAGATGGTCTTGTTCATGTCCCCCCAGGTATATGACTGGTCGAGCTTGTCTTTAACTGCCTTCCATTGTGTTTCAATTTCAAATTGGACCGATGTTCGTACTTGCTCCATAACTTCTCCGTCCTCCACCTGCGCTCCCTCTATCTCCAAGATGCATCGCTTCCACCATATAGTCCATAAGACACTCCGCCTACCCAGTCTGAACATGTTTTCTACAAATGTATTTCCCCGGATTGGGGGGTAATATCCGAAGAGTATGGCCCTCCAATCCCATGGCCACGTCTCACTGGGAACAATGTGTCGCCAGATCCTATCCCAACTTCTCCATAGTAGCACTGACGCAGGACATTGGAGGAAAATATGTTCTATAGTCTCCGCCCGCCTCATCCCAGGAAAGCTCTGAAGGCATTTGTGACACCATGGTAGTGCTTTCCCTTGCTGTTCCAAACGTGTGTGGTCTATCAACCAGTAATTGGTTGGTAGGCACCTATGTTCGATTTGCTATTGGAGGGCCGAGATTTTGGCGGGTCTGCACCGATAGTGAGCAGACCATCGGATGGGCTTAAGCAGACTACGGTCTATGTTAAGATGGCGATACCATCTGTCCTCCACGCGGTCCCGCAGTTTACATTTGGGTCTGAACATTCGGTAGGCTGATTTAGTTTTTAGATTGAGTAGTGTCAATATGTTGTCCTCTCCTTTCCTGGCCGGGTTACGTTGGTTCCATCGCCATTCTACCGGATCTAGGGGGAGATCCTCAATTGGGGTCATAGGGCAATACACCTTCGGGTAGCAACCCTCCTCAAGAACCCTGATACGATACACCTCCTTTTGATCCTTCCATATGAAGGGTTGTTGATTCCACTCTAATCTACCCTCCTTTTGGATGGAGAAGATTTCTATTAGTGCATCTTTGGGACCTGTAAGGTGCACATGCCCTACCTCTTTCTCACTGTTGGGTAACCCCACCCAGTCCCCTTCCTTTATACATGGGCCTTTCCTGAGGGTGGTGTACCAATGGAGGGGGAAGCTCTCGATGAGGTCGTTGAATGCTTTCTCAGTAAGATGGCAGTACCGCAGCCATGTACGCATCCTTTCTATGCTCTTCCAATTTCCGGTCTCCCTATCCCAAAGATCCCCGACCCTCCGGACACCATGTTTTACCCAACCTTTCCATGGGGCCTCCGAGCTGTTCCGCATACACCCTCCAAAATCTGTTATTAGGCAGTTACCAAAAAGGGGTTGCCTAAATATCTCTTCCCACCTCTCTGGTGTTGATCGAAGTGGAAGGGGGAGTTTCCTCCAAGTGCGTGTAAGGTGCACCCATTGTTTGTCAGAAGGGTCCCCATTCCTATACTTCCTTGGCAAACTCCAATACTTGTCCTCTAGCCATACTCTAGGGTCAATCTCAGGTGGGGATTCCGGGGCCAGATCAGAAATTTGTGCCAGAGCCAAGGGGGCCCAGGGGGATGATGTAGATAAAATGATATGTTGAAGCCAGCGAAGCCTAAGGGCTTGGAATTGTGTGGCTGGATCCACAATTCCAAGTCCTCCCCCATTCTTGGGCTAAATCACCGACTCCCATGCCACTCGACTTATGGCGTGGGATTTGTTACTGTCTCCTCTCCAAAGGAAGGCCGCCAACTGTTGTTTCAATGCCTTGATCCCCCCCGCACTCAGGGGCCATAGAATAGCTTTATACCATAGGGTGGCTAGGACTACATTATTCATCACAAGCGCACGCCCGAAGATGGAGGTGCATTTATTGTTTCATTTCTCCAATTTGGGCTGTGCTGGTCCAGCCAACCATTCATCATTGGATGATGGTTTCCCATTGGCGGTGACGAGTGCTCCCAGGATTCTTAGCGGGTCCTCATGGGGACGCCATGTGATCTGCGGAAGTTCCGGGGCTCTTCCTCCTTGATGGTGCATCCACCATCCTATCGTTTTTTGTCCCCAATTCACAGACATATCTGATAGCAGGCAGAACTTGCTCATAAGCAGCTGGATTTCCTTCATGTTAGATTATATTGCTTCTACCATTATGGTGAGATCGTCTGCGAAAAGAGAGCAGATAGGGATTGCTTCCTCGGGGATGTTGGATATCTTAATTCGAGTAAGGTCCTTGTGATTCCAGTAGCTAGTAAGGCCCAAAGTGTGTTTGGGGTATTCTTGGCCACACCGGAAGTCCAAAACAGCCACAAAAAAAAAGGTGGCCCCATATGAAAACGTGACGGGAGCACTCGTCAGCCTCCCAGGAAGGGGGCGGGCACAAGCACCCCGGGTTTATGGCCCAGATACGAAGTTCAAAACCGGATGAAAAGGAATGGCAAGTGAAAAGAAACTGAAAGTTAAAAACTTGAAAAAGGATGAACAGCACAAATAAAAGACGAATGAAAATGAAGAAAGACAATCTCCACGGGGAATCACACTGATCATGCACAACAAAGAGCCTTGATACCGACGGCTTTTGGGCGGCGGCGTTGGCCGTTTCTTATTTCCTACTGTTAGTTTTTGTGCCTGCACTCGTCTTGTTTTTTCAGGGGGCCGTTGAAAGTGGTGTCAAAAGCCGGCGGCTGCTTCACTGCCAGCAAGACCCAGCCAACGACAACGCAAGGTGAGCCTGTTCCATAGTGAAAATAAAGCTCCGGCGTCCAGATCGGAGAGAAGTAATAAGAAGCAAAAACAATCATGTGCCACTAAGGACAGCACCGACATTTTGTGTAAAAAGGTGGCTTAGGGCGCTCCAAGCTGCCCAGACCTAGATCCAAAGGTCAAGAAACCAAGAAAAGCAACAATATCAACAGAACTTGGTGTGCAGCAAACCTCTCACAGACAACTTCGCTATGAAGTTGATACACAGTGACAGACAACTGCCTGGTGAGCCATAGGCGGAAAGGAAGAAACGAACAAGAAACTGGGGTTTGTGGCCACTCTTTCGTCAGAGTCTCACCAACTCCTCAGGACGCTGAGCCCTAGAATGCATGTGCCAAACTTGTCGTCACGTCAAAGAGAGAGAGAGAGAGGGGGG